AGCTCTCTGAAAGTGCTGAGAGTGAAATGAAAAAAAAAAACAGAGAGTAAAGCTTAGAGCTCGTAGGGAGGAACAGTGGAAGGTGAGGGAGAGATCAGCAAGATGGAAGGAGAGTGACGAGAAGAAGTAGTGATGGAATAAATAAATACAAAAAAAACAAAGGAAAATAAAAAAAGAGATGGATAGGGAATATATTACTTAAGCATGGGAATCTTCAATTGTACAACTATAGGGGAATACAGTGCATTAGAGAGCAGCGTGACTAAGCTTCTCCAGTTAACATTTGCCAAAAAAAGGAAAACGTCCCTAATTAACACTCTTTTATCCAAGAGTATAGAAATAAACGCGTCTATTACTTCCATTCCCATCCATGTTCGTTCAAAACGCATTTAATTTTATCATATTTTTTAAAATATCAGATTATCCTTACAATGCTTTTATCCCTTTCATCTTCTTCCTCTCTTCAATTGCATTCCCTTCCACTATAGTACTGCAAATCATCCTTATACAAACAAAAGGGATCCCCTATAACTTTCAGTTTCAAAACCTCCTCTAAATAATTATTTCAAGGATGACATATACAGGTCAATGGTCAAAGTATTCGTTGACTTTATTTTTGCCTTCTCCTACGACAACTATCTAGAGAAATAAATATGTACAATTACCATCAGAGTCTCGATATTCTTTTGATCAAAACATTACGAGGAAATAAAACTCAATATCAATTTATAAGATGATGGTGTTAAAAACTATTAAAAATATAAAGTTAATGTAGAGTCATAATACTTTATTACTAAATAGAAACCTTGAAGTAAGTATAGCTAGGGAAAAAAAGCACTCATAGATGGTCTAAACTCAAGGTGTTTCAAGTAAGCTCTAAGTGGGCCTCATACCATAAGTCACTCCTTTGTCTTTTTTCCTAATTATAAGCCCTTTGCGGTGAATCCATCCCTACTCTTGTCATTTTTTTGGTTTTTTTTTTGTAAAAAATAATTTATTTATTACTCCTTTGATTCTAAATGTAAAACATATTTTGTAATGAAAATGAATCTTACATATAGAACTAGTGACATAGAGTACTATTTTAAGAAACTTCATGCATTAGTACGTACGTGGCCTCCCCTTAGATAATAAGAAAAGCATATGTGAATAATTGCGATGATCATGTTTAGTTTAAAACTTGTAGGTTCTTGTTGTGTATTCCCCCTTAATTTGCAAAAGATGACGAATTTTGATTACTTTTTTTTTTTGGCCTGAACAAATTTTGATTGCTTACAAAAGAAAAATTTGCCGGTCTTGCATCAGTCAGGACAAAGCTTTTTCCTTCTTTAATTACTATTTCTCAGCCGGTGGGTCCCACTATGTACCATGACCAACATTGTATTTAAATGAAATTCAAAGGATGCTTCCCTCAATCATCACCAAATTTTAATGTTTTTAGGTTCTTCAGTCTAAAGTGCAACTTTTGCTTTTGACGTTCATGGGAAAAGAATGGGAAAGCCACTTCCATATTTAATTTCATTAACGAAGATAGAAACTACTATTGAATATGGGGTACCAGTAGCCTCCGTTCAATTATCTTTTCTTTTTGCTGCCTCTTAATTTTTTGTCACTTCTAAAGCATTATTTTCTTGTTTCTTTTGATCATCAGATTCTCTATTAAATGATTGATATTTTAAAGTCTTATAAATAAGAAATGGTGCAATTTTGAACTTTTTGTATTTTTCAAACAAAGAAAATACTTTAAAATTGTGTGGTTTCATATTTGAAAAATTATGAAAAAATCGAAACTACATTATTTTTTGTTCATAAAATATCAAAGTATCATTCATTTTTTTGTAAAATCTAATAACAAAAAACAACAAAATACATTTGGGAAGTGATGAAAAACCAAGCAGAAACTAAAAAGGTGCAGCGGACACTAAAACCCATGGCTGCTAGTGTAAAAACAAAACTTCTACACTCTTAAATTAATCAACATTGAAAAGTTAACCATGACAGGGAAAAATTGTAAAATATTTAAAAATACTATCATGGTTATATAAGCATCATAAATCATATGGAATTAACCATGATAGAAAGGAGTTAAACTAAACCATAAATATATCTATTATGGTTAAAAGAGCTTTTCTAAATTAACTGTGTGTAATTTGCAATTCAAAATGAATAGAGCTTTGGGCATTACGAAACCCAGAATGTTCTTTTTAACCATAATCCCATAACACAATATTACTAAATAATACCTTTCATAACTTTTCAAAATCAAGAGTCATACAGTATCAAAGATTATTGTGGATCCACAACTCATATAAAAAAAAAAAATCAGATGTAAATACCTAGAAGCCTCCAGCCTTCTACCAGCATACAGTCCAGTAACAGTTAATCAAAAGTATGCTATCAAAATAACTGGTATCAAACATATCAGAGTATGTGGAGTGGATCCTATTATGACAATATACATCTATCCAACACAATCAAAAGGGTGGAAGCATTGCTATTTTACAGTAGTAGCTCAAACTTTCGAAGCCTTCCCTGACTGACCCGAATGGGAACTATCACCTGAAAAAGTGTTAAATCAACGAGGTAAGACAAAAGCCTCAGTAACCAACAATCCTACTTATCAAGCATACAAGTATGTGCTCGTGAGGTGTCAAGTAAGACAATTACAGATTCATAGTATTCAAACAAAGTTCATATTGTCAGAGCATATAATAAAGTACAATCGATAATCCTCTTACCTCCCTTATATCCACCCACCTTATATCGTGTAACTAAACCCATGGGCTAAATCCTCATCCATACGACTGGTAATTAGACAAGCTCACTGATTAAGTGATATAGACTAGCCAAGATTCACATAGCACAAGATTAGACCATGGGTTCCCCCTCTCGTCTACTAGTGGAGTGTCAATGCCCTATAATGAGTAATTGGACCAAAAGACCAATCAGTGTACACCTGATGGCCCTATCACCTTTTATCTTCAAATGTACGTAATTCACCCCTTATATCCTCTTCGTTATAGTTCTCATCATCAACATTCGCCACCCCTCACCTATCAATATTCAGAATACTATATTTATAATAAATCATGTCAAAATCAATTTGAATTTTCAATTCTCAATTAATCCATAACACATGAGATCCTCATAATCGTAAACACATATCTTTTGCAAAGAAAGTCTCACAAGAAAATTTCAATAACAATATAATTTCATAGCTCATATCATAATTCAATAATATTTCATAATCCCATATAATTCAAAATCAATCACAAACAAACTACGAGTATGAATAGTAAGTGGAAAGTAGTTACTCTCATCTAACAGGACAAGGATTACCACAAGGTTAACCCCGTGCTCAAACTAATAATCCAATAATTTAATCTACACAATCAATATATTTACATATCAATACACAAGCTATTTAATTAATTACTTGAGCTAATATATATATATATATATATATATAAGTTGAGGTTTCTAATTTTATGCTAAACCCCAAACCTCTCATAACCCATAATTAAATCTTTTAGCAAAAAATTAATATATCCTAACAATCTAAAATTTTCATTTAAACCTTTCAAAATATTTACTTGAATACAGATTTTTCTCAATTTTTTAAAATATGAAATTATCATATTTAAAATTCAAAAATCCTATCTCAAGTTTAAATCTTAAAAAAAAACCATTAGGAATCCAATATACATCAAATACACTTAAGTAAATAATTTAAAACAAAAGTTCCATAGCAGAAATATCATATTTTCCACAAATAAATATCTGTTTAACTAAAATAATTCATTTAAAAATATTAGGTCAATCAATAAATAAAACTAAACTGATAAAAATGATCTACTGAAATAGCTCTACAATACTATACTCATATATCATCAAAACTCAACTCTTGTTCTAAACCCTAAATCCAAAATTTTTTTCTAAACAGCACAAAATTACTGTCATTAGATAGATTTGGATGAGGAGAAAAACTTTCATAAAGAGAGTTTGATAAGAAGAAGTTATTTGACTTATCAAAATGATTTGCAAATGTTGAAACCCTACTTAAAAAAGAGAGAACAGCGCTGGAGAAGGAAAAAGACGATGCCTCTCGGCCCCTCCCCCCAACGGTTAAAATATAATTTTGGGGAAAATTCCATTTAAAGACCCGTGTTAAAATGAGACGAAATTATAGTTCATAACCCCATTTTTTCTATTTTCTTTCTTGTTTTTATCCGTTTTATTATTATTATTATTATTTAGTAATTTTTTATATATATTTTATAAATCTTATTTTCAGTAATTCTCTTTTCTTAAATACTAGAGAATAAAACTCATTTATTAAGCATTAAACTCCTTCTAATGTTATTTAAATACTACGAATAAAAACTAGGATATTACAACTAGGAAGGTTAAGAGATGTTGAAGAAACATATGAAGATGAAAGGGTTTTAGCTAATAAGGTTTGTCATGGCTTTGTGATTGGGCTTGGGCACTTACTCTTTACCAAAAACAAAATTTTCAAGATTGGCAACTTTGTTTGAATAATCCTATTATCCATCATCATGAGAAAACTAAGTAAGAATGAATTAATTAGCATTTTGCCTTGGGAAGTTCAATAAAAACAATATATATATGTATACACACACACACACACAAAGACAAGGCTGTGCATCACTGCGTTGTGCTAATTACACATCACATTTAAACTATAAAATAGAGGAACTAATTAGCACATGTAAATTCTTCTTCACACTTCATGTTATATTTCCCTTCTTCGAATAATATCTACTCGTTTATGAAAGATTATAGTCTCATGCTTGTTTTCCAGCCTAAATTCTGATTGGATCATACGCCAGAGTTGGGATTCTTAAAAAGCCTACTAGATGAAGAGAATATTTATTACATGGAAGAGAAATTGAGGAATATAATCAAACCATTGAGCCATCCATTACTTCAAATCTTTTCTTCATAGTTTCATGTGAGAATGCAGAAGCAACTAAGGTTTAACTACTACGATCGCATTGTGATGCTGCACTATCCGTTGCTTCAGCCCTTTGCTTCATATTTTCATGTGATTTTGATGTAGAAGAAGAACTAAAGTTTTGGCTATGGCTTTCTTGAGATGATTGTATCTCAAAGGCCTTGAATCTTGCAACCTGTTGGTCACTCTCCCGATGTTTGATTGTTAGGGCTTGGATTGGCAACTTTCCTTCAAGCATGAAAACAACAGAGGACATGGATGGCCTCAGAGTTGGAGATGGGTTAGTACATAGGAGTGCTAGCTCCAGCATTCTCATGACTTCCTGTGAGGAGTAGCTTGAACCAAGACTTGCATCCACTAGCTCAAGAAGGTTTCCTTGCTCTTGAAGAACATAAGCCTTCAATTGCATGAAAGTATAAGCAGTTGTTAGAAACTCATTAAAACCATTAACTTATGAAGAATATTGAACATCACCAATGCCAAGTGTGAGTAGAATAACTAACCCAGTCAAGAAGGTAAACAAAGTTCTCTCTTAGCCTATAACTTGTGTTGCTTTTTCCACTAACTATTTCTAAGGCAACAACTCCAAAACTATAAACATCTGCTTTATCAGTCAAGTATCCTCGCATTGCATATTCAGGAGCCATATAACCACTAATGAGAAAACATATAATGTTAATAAACAAGTCACAAAATGGAGAATGTGCAAGGATAGTCCAAGAAGAAAAAAACCTATTGACATTATTACTAAACCAAATATGAAAATTATATTGATCCAGTGAAAAAGATGTAGTAGAATATATACTGACATTGTTCCTGCTATTCTTGTGCTTATATGAGTATTCTCATCTTCATTAAGCTTGGCTAATCCAAAATCTGAGATCTTGGCATTCAAATCTTTATCAAGTAAGACATTTGTTGCCTTAATATCCCTATGCACAATTTTCAACCTTGATTCCTCATGAAGATAAGCCAATCCTCTTGCTATTCCTACACATATCTTCATTCTTGTAGGCCAGTCCAAGTGTATCTTTTGTCCCTGGCCACCTAACATTAATATCAATGGTATCTTAATTAACAACATATTACTATCAAGTCATTCAATAAAAATTAATTAGATATTTGTAGTTGTTTCGAATTAGTAAATATGTTTAAATTTAAAAAGCCTAAAATACAACATCTAAATTTTGTCTTTTAAAAAATAAAGATATAATTAAAAGTTGTTGGCAAATAATATGAACACGATTTTACATTTTCTGTCATAGTGATGTAATACTATAACACACACAATAAGAGAATGTATATAAAAACAATTTTATTCGTTTATGCTCAGTCTATTTTATCTTTTCCTTGTATATAATACTACATATGGTAATTTTTTATTGTGAAGAATTCAAGTTCTTACCAAAAAGAGCACTAGCAAGACTATTGTTCTCCATGTACTCATATATCAGCAACAATTGATTTCCTTCAACACAACATCCATAAAGCTTTGCGAGGTTTGGGTGTTGCAAAGCAGAAATCATTCCAATTTCATTAACAAATTCACGATTCCCTTGCTTTGATTTAGAGGAAAGCTGTTTCACAGCTATGACAACGCCATTTGATAATGTACCCTGCAATTTAGTTTACCCTTTAGTCTGAATTTTCATACTTTTTCTTAAGCAAAATCATTATGTCTAAAAGACATAATCTCTTTATAAGTGTATTCAATTATGTAACATTGGTTAAAGATAAATATGATATAGTAAAAATTACCTTGTACACCGGTCCAAAACCTCCTTCACCAATCTTATTTTCTGGGGCAAAGTTATTAGTGGCACCTTTGATTTGTTTCAAAGAGAAATAACCTGTTTTTAGATCTAAAAGTTCTGCATTAAAAATAAAGGTTATATAAATACAAAGTAAAATAGATTGAAATTACAAGAAACTTGAAAATAATTACGTATATGCAAAAATCATTATTTGTCCATTTGACTTGTATGATAGAATTCAGGCATATGGAAAATCTTTTTTTCACTATATTGTACCAAATTATCATTAGATATACCAACTTTATTATTTTTTATTTTGATCTTACGTTTGTCTTTTGAATCTCTGTCAGCTAGTAAGCCCATTTTTTGAAGGACGAATATTATTATTAGTATGATGAGGAACACGCATGATCCAACCACAATTCCGGCAATTGTTCCACCAGAAATTCGAGGAATTTTGAAATCTACATGACAAAAAAGTAGTAATAGTTACGATTCCTATCAAAGTCAAAATTGTCATCTCTTAGCTTAAGCTAGAAAGAGTGTAAACCAATAAATATGAGATTTTACTTACTTGGGGTGATCGAAATAGCAGATATAAGAGGTCCATATACACCATAAGTAGGAATAGTGGTAGTTCCTTTTCCAGCCCAGTACAAATGAATCTCCAAGGTGTTATTATTAACATCAACATTAAAGTCCTTGACAATGCCCTTACCAACGCCACCAGCTTCCCTCATAATATTGAAATCATGTAAATAGTTCCTACCCTGTTAGGATATCCATACAAAAGTTTCACCTTTCACAGAATTTGTTAACGTACATAGCGAAAACAGTTGAAAGCATGTTAAATCATTATATATAGTAATAGTCCTTGTCTTTATAATGAGAAATTCTTACATACTCCTGGAGTGTCACGTCATCCATTCTCTATCCCATGAAAATGCTCCAGGTGTCCTTTCTTATGGATCCCACAAATTTCTATCATAATGGGTTATGAAGGGAGAAAACTAATCAAGAGAAATTTGTGGGATACACTTGGAACATTTTCATTGGAGAGAGTACTTATGACATGGCCTTCTAAGAGTATGTAAGTATTTCTCATTTATAATTGGCCATTTAGCCACCCATCAAAGAGATACATGAACATAGTGGTGAGTTCACTTGATAGCGACACATCTCACAATATTTATTTCTCTTCAACTATACGCTTCATGGGTGGAGAGTATTATTTTCTCACTATTCATGGAATTCTCTGATCACTATAAAAAATTTAAATTCAACATAGTGAGACTCACTTGGATTGAAACATCAAATATGCGCCTTCCAGTGTGATGGAAATTTTGGTCATAAGAATACATAATCTCAGCAAAATATAGTTTGACGTTGTAATTTCCATTAATCATACAAAGGCCATAGTACTTGAGAGACACAGGGGAAACGCGAGCTGTTTGGTAGAAGTCAGGACCAACAATATCAAGGGAAGATACTTTTGTTATTATGTAATTACTATTAGAATATTCGTAAGTTTCTACTCCTGTGCTACTATAAGCCCATTTATCTTCACTAGCAAAAAAGTATGAGGCACCATTAGGATTGTTGTCTCCTTCATATTTATTCCCCTCATATTCAGTCTCTGGTCCTCCACAGTTTATGAACAATGAATGATCTGCATATAGGGACAACCTCATCAAAAATCACCTCTATAAGAGAATCCAAATGATCAAATTCATAAGATCATGATCTCTCCCTCTATATATATATATATATATATATATTGTCATATGATATTGATAATCATTTTATTGTTACGTTCACTAAAGTCTACATTACTTAGTTAAAACTCTTGAAAAGGTTTGTGATGGGAAAATAAAATACAACTAAAAAAAGACAATGTTATGTTAAAGTTTGAAATAAGCAAGAAGACACTCACACTTGGGTTTTTCCCCACAAGGAAGGCCCCTTTTTAGGCAAGTACGCCTGTAAGATGAATAAAAATTTCAAAGCATGAATCAAAAGCATTTAGAATGAGTGAAACAAAAGCCATAAGTATAATCTTACGAGGCGTTTGCTGAAGATGATAGACTTGAAACCAAGTTTCTGTATAACCAAAAAAAGAAAAAGCTTTACAGTTGTTGCATAATGTCTTAAAGAACAAGAAAAAAGTAGTTTGGAGTTCGAGGAGAGGAGTTCACATTTTTCCATACTGACAAGTAGTCGCAGAAGTCTCTGAAAAATTGTTGTAAGATAAATCACTGCAATAGAAGTAGTGTGAAATTACACATGTAAGTTTCATTCCCTGTTATATATATATATATATATATACTCCTCCGGTTCTTAATATATGACATAATTATTGAGTTGATTTTGATCCTAAATATAAGACCTATTTCTTATATTTATCAGTTTTTTATAAATTATCCATATGGATATTCCCTCAACTATGATCAAGTGGAAGAGGGAGAGAGGATATTAAGGAAGATGATTATAGTATTTTAGAAAAAACATGTCATATTTCTTATAATTAACTAACTTACCTAACTTCTTTAATATAATCAAATTAGTTAAATAGGTTTTATATTAAAGACTGGAAGAGTATTAGATAAAGTTTAGATGAGTTGGTTGGTCGGCTCTTCTTCTTGTTATCATTGCATGCTGTTTTATTGCTATTGGGACTTATATTCCTTCCTTGAGATTTAATAACAATTCTCCCAAATTTTTTCATATGTCAAAGCTCAAATCAAAATGACATTATGCAAAGGGGATTAATTAAAAATGATTAGAGATTTAAAGGCTAAAGATGTTTTTGTCAATAAGATTCACGGTAATTAATTTCAAACGGTAATGGCATTGAACTATATGTAGTAATGACAAATAAAATTAAAATAAAAAATAATTTACTAACAAAGAAACACCATTGTTTTGCTGTTGAAATATCCAATCAGGAATTTTTCCGGTCAGAGAATTTTCAGTTAGAATCCTGCATACATATAATTAATGAAGATCATTAAAAAAGAGTAACTAAGTTCCCAAAAAAAAAAATCAAGTTATCTGTGTGTGTAGAATGCTCCCTTACATGAGATCTAGGTAGGTCAAGCTACTTATACTGTTTGGGATTTTACCAGTCAACTTGTTGAAGCTCAAATCTCTGCAATTAATACACGGGGACACAAATATTGCTTCATAAAAATAACTGAAAAATAATGTTGCTAGTAATAAATAGTCCATAATAAAAGTAAGTAGCTCTAAATTAGGAATTAGGTTGTCAATTAAACATTAAATTGGGATTATTATTTAGAGGATTTTGGATTCATAGTATGACGATGAAGCAACTTACACTTTATTTAAGTTTTGCATTTTACCAATATAATTTGGAATGGAATCATGGATGGAGCAATTTCTCAACACCCTGAGAGGAAAAAAAAAGAGGTATGAAAATTCATTGAGAATATATAGCTCATTTTCGATAAACAAATTTTCACGTCACTATTAAATTCTCAACTTACAGGTATCGCAAGGACGTCAAATTCTCCAAATTAGGAAATCCCATTATCATTGGTCCATGCAAATCAGTTATCATCCTGAATTAAAAATTAAATACAAAACAGTATCAATAATAGGAAAATATTCTTCTGTTGAAATTAAATTGCGTAACCATCAACACAGTGTGTGGATGAATTATAAAAGACCAAGTACTCACATACTAGACAAATATGTTAAGTGAGATATGGTTATAGGAATGGGGCCTTCCATAGACGTTCCCTCCAAATACCTGCCCAAATATTTTTTTTTTTAGAGTTATTTGGGGTCCCAAAAAAAAATATAATTACTAATAAATCCAAATGACAAGTGATCAACATAAACCTATGGTCATTTTTCCACTAAATCTTATCACTACATGTTGCTTGATTGTTGTTGTTGTTTGAATTTTTAGTGATTACATTCTTTTATTGGAGCCGTATAATAATTCTCCCTTGTTTCTTTCTTCGTTTTCAACAATTTCAAACAGACTAAATATGACAATATAATAAAATACAGGAGTAAATGAAAATAAAAGCACTGAACTTCATTAAGCTTATTAACTTCGATACATTAAGTTCATAAAGGAGCATCTTATTTAAAAGGAAAAGCATTATGATAGAGAGTGTATTAGACTCACATTACCTGGAGTTGGGTCCAGTTCCCAATAAAATTGGGTAATTTTCCTGATATGTTGGTGCCATCTAAAGAGCTACAAAAGTGTTAAGAGAGAAATTTTAGAATTTAAAAGAGATCAACACAACATCAAAAATAAAATATAATGAAATGATTAAATCATATTATGCCACTCACATATATTCCAGTTTTGTCAGATTACCAAAACTTTCGGGTATGGCCCCCAAGAAGTTATTTCCAGTAAGATCCCTACGAGTTCCAAATCCTTAGAAACAGATAACACATCTAAAAGCAATATAAAAAATTATCTATAACAAGACTAATGTGGTAGTCACAATGCAACTAATAAGATAAAAGAAAATTATTTGCACTTGAAATAATATTCTTACAGCATGCGTAATTGGGTCAATTTTCCGAGACTAGAAGGAAGAGTCCCTTCCATTAGATTATCATTCAAGCTTCTGCAGAAAGTAGCAAAACCATAAAATTATTTCCAAATGCAACAATAAGTTTTAAAAAACTCAAAGTGTAATGATTTATACTTACAAATCTTCTAAAGTTGTAATTTCACCAATTTCATCTGGAATCGGACCACTGATTGCGTTATCCGGAAGGTGTCTAAGACATGTGTTTAAGAGATGGATAATGCACATGGTCAAATAATCCGAGCTTGTATAAATGCATGCATGCATAACATATATGAAAATACACACACACATATATACATATAATCATTCACAGCGTTATGATCACTTTTAATGCAACAAGAGGGGGTCTAGCAAAGCTCCTTGGGATTGATCCGTTTAGATAGTTGTGAGACAAATCACTATGCCACATATAAAAGTTGCATTTCAGATCCCAAATTCCCACATTTTAACTAAGCATATACATATATATAAATCTAAGCTGCTATAAACCAATAATTTAACTAAAAAATTTCATTACTTACAATACTTGCAAATGGCTAAGGAATCCAAATTCACTTGGTAAAACTCCAGATAGATTAAATCCCGTCATATCGCTGTCATAAAATGAAAAACACGTCACTAAAACTATTTACATAGAGCTAAAATAAAATAAGTTATCTTATAATTAGCACCAATATGTTGGCAGAAAAACAAATAGCACCAATATGCATTTGAATATTAATTTTATTACAATGCAGAGCCAGACCTAACTTATTCTAAATATCATATAGAAATGTATCTCAAAATCAAATCAACTAGTTTTAAATAAAGAAAGGAACAAAAAGTAAAGAAAACTTTTCAACATTATTTGGAACTCATTAAACACAGCTTAATTTAGATTCGAGCTTGATTTGTACCCAAACTGAAAGGGTTACATTGTAACCATGTACACAAATGCACTTACATATTTGTAACATGACAAACTTTTCCATTTGAGAAGCTGCAATCGCATGTTACATTCCTTACGATGCTATTCATTCCACTAATGATCTCATTTTTGAAGCCATCATCGACACAAGAACGTGGGCTCACATCCCAATTCAAGTTTTCTATCTTTGATGATATTGTTTTTAGAGCTTTCACTGCATCAAACACAGTTCAGTTTTTTCAAAAGATAAAAATAAAAAATGAAAATCATGCACCATAAAGTAAGAACCTCAACATCTATATTTTATATTCATAGACATCTGTAAACCTTATATATAAAGAAATTTCGAAGTACTTGACGTGGCCCACTTTGGTTAATTTTGATATGCATTGATGTTGATGAACTTCTCCAACATATGGATCATGCAGAGCTGGTTCAAATTCAATTTAAAACGCTGATAAAGGCTTATCGTGTAAACTTAAGTCGTAGTAAATGTATATATCTAAATTGTTTTTTTTATTCTTACGTTGATTAAGAAATGCCTTCTTATCCAGAACAGCATCAGTAATGTCCAAAAATCACGTTTTCCCTAATAAGCGCATCGGAAACTAAACATAAAAATATTTTTTAATAGGCTAAAATACACAGGACTTCCTAAACTTTATGTCAGTTGTACATTACCTCCTTAACCTTTAAAAATTTAAAGCAGTGGCAAATAAATGAATAAAATAAATTACTATAGTTTTCAACCATTGGAATCTTGTTGGTAAAAAGGGAGGGGGGAGGAGAAAGAAAGAAAGAAAACATTAGAATCAATTTACTTAGTTCCCTTCTTGGAGGGGGAAAAAAATCAAGGATCAAGTCTCGAAAATTACGACAATTTTTTTATCACTGCTTGTTCAAGAAGAGGAAAGGATCAACCATCACGTTGACCCTTTTCTTTTTTGTATTTTTCTTTGAACAGTAAGAAAACAGATGGAAACGGAAGAATTGATCATAACTCTAAATAGAGTAATATAGTATTCCTTCGGTCTATAAGACCCCTTTTGTAGTAAAAAATTACGCTACAAAAAGGGTCTTATATTTAGGACCGAAGGAGTGTATACTAAGTAGTAAGAGAAACATAAAGGGATTAATTAAGAAACCTTCATCTCCTGGTATGAGTTGAGCATTGGATCCATAGTTCATGAAAGCTGTCGAAGCAAAGCATCCAAAAACAAAAAGATATAAAAGTTTAGAGATTGAGATCCCAAACTCCATTTTGGTTGTTGCAGTTTGAACAAAATAACTCTGTAAGGGAGCGAAAGAAGGAGGAGGAGGAAAAGGTAGTTTGCACAATCACATAATAGCAAACCGCATAAGAGACGATAGAATAAGAAGATAAGGATGATGCGGTATAAATAGAGGCAAGAAGAAAAGAAAAGCAAGTCAAGATTTCTACAAGTCTTCTATTTTTTGTAAAGTAATAAAAGGCGTTTCTCTTGTCTCAAGAAGAGGTAATGAAGTTGCTGATTTTTTGGCAGGATGTGCAGTAAAGAATATGCACCAGAATGAGTGGCTTGTCTCTGCTTACTCCTCTTTAAGCGTGTTTGGATTCTAATTGTTTTTGTCTTGTTTGTATTTTTTATTTTCAGTATTTTGTGTGTTAGGTTGTATCTTAGGTTTTTTGAGACTTTATTTTGGCCTGTTTGTACTATTTTTTTATATTAATAAAATTGATTTTTTTGGTCCAAAAAAATAAAAATAAAAGGCGTTGAACAGCTGCAAGCTGTTTCATAGGCAATGTGATTTTATTAATATAAACCAAAATATTACACACACATATATATACACACACGCATATATATTTAAAGTGGTGTTATTTACGTGTATCTTTAAGAAGTAATTTTATTTTAACCAAGATGATATCATATTCATATAAGAACGGATATTTAGAAGCAGTTTGTTATGAGATAGAGTGTGATGACTTTGGGGTCTACTGCCAGGTCAAGCACCCTATTCATATGTATTTGCAAATAGGAAATTGAAAGATGCAATACATCCTATCAAATTAAGACTAAGACTTTTTGAGTTATTCTCTCAAATTAGATTAAGAGGCTGTTTAGATAAAACCAAACCATGGTCTGAAGAATAGTTTCTGAAAAAAAATTATTTTTGAGAATAGATTTTATGAAATAATAATTCTGATAAAGTGAGAGTATTTGGATAGTGGTTATCAGAAGCACTTTTTATATGTACAAATTACTAAAAAGGATATAAGTTAATATGATAATTACATAAAAAAATATGTGTTACAATATATTTTAATTTGAAGTAATAAATTTGTTAACAATATATTTTTTGCCAACATGATAAATAATATATAAAAAATATAATTAATAAATAATTAATATGTGTGTATATATTTATAAAATATAAGATTAAATATTTTTTAAAAAATGATTATTTTTTTCGCCAACAGAAAAATATTATTTTGTCTTAAAGATTTTAAACATAAAATCCCATAAACAACTAATTTTTTTAACAACATACTATGTTCGATCTTTAATATAATTAATCAATTGTTAGTAAGTGTGTGTATATATATTTATAAAATATAAGATTAAAAACATTTTTGAAAATGGTGATTTTAATAAAATGAAAGTGTTTAGATAGTTGTTATCAGAAACACTTTTTTAGGTACAAATTACCAAAAAGGATATAAGTTAATATGATAATTACAAAGATCTAATTAATTAATTTAAATAGATTAAGAATATTAATTGAATTAGTTAGTATGATCTGTTTTTTTTAAAACATCCTAAGAATCTTTTTTTATTCCATTACTCTCTCTTTTACTTGACTATTATTGAGGGAATATCAATAGAGTTAATTTAAAAAAATTAATAATCATATAAAATAGGTCTTACATTTAGGATCAACATTAACTCTCCAATTAGGTTCAATATTAAGAACCAGAATAATAATTTTGTTAATAATTTTTTTGCCAACTTAATAAATAATATATGAATATATCATTAATTAATTGTTAATATGTGTATATATATTTATAAAATATAAAATTAAATGTGCTTTTAGAAAAATGAATATTTTTCCTAACAGAAAAATCAAAGTATGGAACGAAGGATGAGAGCTGGTCAAAAAATAAAAAGAATGAGGGAGGAAAAAGGTCGAGGCATCTGTGAGCAGCTCACACAGTGACCAAACGAAAAAAAATTTCGGGCCTATTTGTTTACCTATTCTGAAAATAGTTTTTTATTTTAAAAAATAAAAAGTCCCATTTGGTAATTTATTTTTACTTAACTGTTTTTTAAAAAAAAAATAGAAACTTGTTTTAAAAAACTAAAAACAAACTATCATTATTACAATAATTATCTGAGAAAAAATAAATAAATATGAGAAATAAAGTAGATTAGGATCTTATATTTAAAATCAAAATAAAATTCAAACAAGCTCTTATATTAAAGACCAGAAGTATAGTACCCGTGCATTCGGTGGCTTCTTTATATAAGAATTTTTTATTTTCAAAAATTCTGGATAATTAATGATATAAGTGGACTTGCAAGTATCATTTTCAATATTACGTCTCTATGCATTGACTCGAGGACTTTTCCGCTTTGCCCTTTGTGATTATAGATTTTTTTTCTTTTTCTTTTGGGTCGGTTAAACATCATTTCGAAGTGGGTGCGTGTCAGTTTTTCTCTTCTTTATTTTCCACATTTTTGACAAAATACTCCATTCTTTGATGTGCACTCTCAATTTAATTAGGAAATCTATTTTTTTCCCTGAAAAATTCAGCATAATTAACGTCTTCTTAAGCATAATTAACAAAGATAGAGGATTGAAACGGCTCAGACCTTCAAAATTTCTATATGCAACTAGATCGCTCACCATCGAACGGTTAAGATCATTTTTAACTTCAATGAAACGGTGCGTAGCAGTGATGAGCTCCTTGCCTCTACATAGTACTGAAACTCGTTCCCCATATCTCATGATAAACATTTATTGTGTCACAATCATATTTAACGTTATTTCTACTTCTTGAGGGCTTTTCCACATTGTTCTTAAATTTGTGATGAGCTCGTTGCTGCTACGCATTGAAACTCATTTCCTGTATCTCATAGACATTTCTTGTGTCACAATCATATTTAACGTTATTTTTACTTCCCGAGGACTTTTCCACATTGCTCTTAAATTTGTGACCTTTTCTTCTACGTAAACATCACTTCAAAGTGGCCACATGTCAGTTTTCCTCTCTTTAGTTTCTTTTCATGTATTTTTTTGTTCATTAAAAACTCTTTTTTCTTTGATATATGCCCTGAAAATAACTTTGCTGCGTATCGATCTGAATAAAAATCTGAATAATCAATAAATGGTTTCTCAAAAGATAAATATATATATATATATATGTGTGTGTGTGTGTCTCGTGTAGACTTTACTTCTTACCATCTAAATATTTTACCATATTGACAATAGATGTTGCTTCCCCAGTCGATCAGCATAATTAATTAATTAATTAATTAAAACTAGTTAAGTTAGCTATTTGTAATAAATTTGTGTTGTCTTTTTTAAAAAATTATTGCCAATCAAGTATATTAATTAGAACTATCATTATTACAATGATTACTTTAAAAAAAATAGATAAATATGAGAAACAAAATGGATTAAAATATTTTATTTAGAATCAAAATAAAAGTCAAACAAGCTTTTATATTAAAGACAGGAAGTAGTATGAATTATGTATCCAAAATATTTTTAAATTTAAATTTTTTATATAATTATTTTAGAATTTTTGATTTGGAAAGGCAACACTATTATTTAAATGGGAGGTTGAATAAAAAATTTTTATAATAATAATAATAATAATAATAATCTGTTTGTAAAGATAAAAAAAAGAACAATTTTTCTATGTTTTCTCCCTTTTTTTCCTTTTGTAGAGATTAGGAATTGTGATGGAACTTGTAAATTTCTCTTGTAAGTAAGGTTATGTTAGAACACTAAACCGCAATCACTGGGATAAGACTTTATTATTCTGATAACTAGTATAGTACCCGTACATTCGGTGGCTTCTTTATATAAGAATTTTTTATTTTCAAAAATTCTGGATAATTAATGATATAAGTGGACTTGCAAGTATCATTTTCAATATTACGTCTCTATGCATTGACTCGAGGACTTTTCCGCTTTGCCCTTTGTGATTATAGATTTTTTTTCTTTTTCTTTTGGGTCGGTTAAACATCATTTCGAAGTGGGTGCGTGTCAGTTTTTCTCTTCTTTATTTTCCACATTTTTGACAAAATACTCCATTCTTTGATGTGCACTCTCAATTTAATTAGGAAATCTATTTTTTTCCCTGAAAAATTCAGCATAATTAACGTCTTCTTAAGCATAATTAACAAAGATAGAGGATTGAAACGGCTCAGACCTTCAAAATTTCTATATGCAACTAGATCGCTCACCATCGAACGGTTAAGATCATTTTTAACTTCAATGAAACGGTGCGTAGCAGTAATGAGCTCCTTACCTCTACGCAGTACTGAAACTCGTTCCCCATATCTCATGATAGACATTTATTGTGTCACAATCATATTTAACGTTATTTCTACTTCTTGAGGGCTTTTCCACATTGTTCTTAAATTTGTGATGAGGTCCATGCTGCTACGCATTGAAACTCATTTCCTGTATCTCATAGACATTTCTTGTGTCACAATCATATTTAACGTTATTTTTACTTCCCGAGGACTTTTCCACATTGCTCTTAAATTTGTGACCTTTTCTTCTCCGTAAACATCACTTCAAAGTGGCCACATGTCAGTTTTCCTCTCTTTAGTTTCTTTTCATGTATTTTTTTGTTCATTAAAAACTCTTTTTTCTTTGATATATGCCCTGAAAATAACTTTGCTGCGTATCGATCTGAATAAAAATCTGAATAATCAATAAATGGTTTCTCAAAAGATAAATATATATATATGTGTGTGTGTGTGTGTGTGTCTCGTGTAGACTTTACTTCTTACCATCTAAATATTTTACCATATTGACAATAGATGTTGCTTCCCCAGTCGATCAGCATAATTAATTAATTAATTATGGTCCTATGAATAAGTGGACTGGAAGGATCATATTCAATACTATATATCTTTTTTGAGGGATTTTCGACTCTGCTGTTTATATATATTAACAACATTTATATATA